TGCGCCAATGAGGAAGGTCTTCCATCTGATGCTATACGACCTCAAGCTACTGTAGTGATGGGACCGTTGATGCATGATGAAGGCCGACAGCAGATGCTCAGTAAGTCAAGCAAAGCCAGGTTGTGACTGCTTAAACAAGAACTCAATTGATTGTAGAAAAAAAAAACACATTATGGCCAAGTAAGTTGATGTTAGGTGTGTTTAAACAAGAACTCGATTGATTGTAGAAGAAAAAAAAACAACACATTATGGCCAAGTAAGTTGATGTTAGGTGTGATTGTGAGCGTGAATGGTTGTTCGTCAATGAGTGCCCTGCGATTGGCTGACAACCAGTTCAGGGTATGAGCGTGAATGGTTGTTCGTCAATGAGTGCAATGCGATTGGCTGACAACCAGTTCAGGGTGTACCCCGTCTACCGCCCGAAGACAGCTGGGATGGGGTCCAGTACGTCCGCGACCTTTGTGAGGATAAAGCTGATCGGAAAATGGATGGATGACCGAAGACGGCTGGGCTGGGGTCCAGCACGTCCGTGACCTTTGTGAGGATCAAGCTGATCGGAAAATGGATGGATGGATGGATGGAGGAAATATTGATAATTTATCACGAATGTCATTTGTTTGATTTTAAAAAAAGGAAACCAATCTTGAATTCATTATCGTGTCAGATTGTTATTGCTTAATAAAACCCTTTGCTTCAGTGCCCTGGGATGAACCCGCAGAAAAGAAATGCTCCCCAAAGTAAAAAAAAAAAAAAAAAAACGCACCTCTTACGTGTCACCTCTCCAGCTGCCCCAATTTGGAACAATTCCAGCTTACTTTCCACTTCAACCAATAACCCTATTGATTCATCGCGGCCCCCCTCCTTAAAAGCAAGCGCAATCATGAGCGTTACACTCAGCCAATCTTGCGCTGGTCCTTCTTCCTGGCGTCGCAGCTGTTTGCCATTGTATACGTGTGTGCAGCCAGATGAAGACAGAACAAGAGAGTGTGTGCGGCATCTGTTTTAGTTCACACGCTCCCTCTTCAATTTTCCCCTTTTAGAAAACATAAACAGCATTTTTTTCCCTCCCCCCCTTTAAGAAAGGACAGAAAGAAAGAAAGGCGGCAGGGGATGTGAGGAAATGAGCATGATGGAAATACAGTGGGTATTGGAAGTGAACACAGCATTGTTGAAATAATCGGTTTCAGGAAAACAAGATCAGGCTCATTTGGGCGAATTCCCTTGGAGGAGTTCATCAACAAAAGAGCCTTGGAATGAAGACAAAATGGCTGTTCCCTACCAAAACGCACGACTTTCTGTTCAATTTAGAGGATGAGTCATGGAAACGTTTTCATGCATGCCGATATGAGAAATGCTTGGCAAAATTTTGTATACATCGCTAAGAGTGGTGTGGGGGTGCCACTGGATGAATTCTTTTTCGAGGTACTCCGGTTTCCTCCCATATTTCAAAAACATGCGTGGCAGGTTAATGGAACACTCTAAATTGTCCCTAGGTGTGAGCGTGCATGGTTGTTTGTCTATGTGTGCCCTGCGATTGCCTGGCGACTAGTTCGGGATGTACCCTGTCTACTGAACGAAGACAGCTGGGATAGGCTCCAGCACACCCCGTGACCCTTGTGAGGAGAAGCGGATCAGAAAATAGATACATATATATCTCACACGAATGGGCAGATGCTGCTTCTGAAAGTCAAATGTCCGAAACAAGGACCGGTTGTATAGAAAATGGAGGCATGTTCTCTGCAATTACTTGTGAGGAGAAGCGGATCAGAAAATGGATACTTATATATCTCACATGTATGGGCAGATGCTGCTTCTGAAAGTCAAATGTCCTAAACAAGGACTGGTTGTATAGAAAATGGAGGCATGTTCTCTGCAATTGACTCAAAACGAATCCCTTGTGAACCTCCTTTTACCAAGACTCACCCGTGATAGGACTCGGGATAGGTTCGATGGATAACCCTGAGTAGCTTTTGTCTGCACTGCAGTCACGGCTGTCACACTGTGTGAATGCTGGACTGTTTTTAAAGGCTCTTTTCTAAACGTTATTCACGTTTTTACTCGTATGCTCCTGTGGTCTTGCATTGACATATCCATTAGTGGTTTGCAATTTCATCAACAGCCGAGGAATGCAACATAACGGCTCATAAAAAAAAAAAAAAAAAAAAAAAAAAAAGTCCCTCGTGGGCCTCATCAGCGGCTCAGCTGGATGCCAAGAGAGAAAGCACGTCGCGTCCGTTGGGATTTTGGCGAAACTCTTTGTCCAAGGATCGAAATCAGCGAGAGAAAATAAAAAGGAAAAGTGCAGAAGATTTAAAATGCTGAATTTGAGACGGTAAACATATTGGTAAACGATTCTGGCTAAATGCAAACCTGATGTTCCTGCAGAACACTCAGTGACTCACCACGAGGATTGCTTGCAAATGCACCCAAACAACTTGATTTAACGCTGAAAAGGGAGAAAAACATGCTAATTTTCAACCTTTTTATCCTCTTTTTAAATTCAGAGATTAGACCTCACACATCACGAGAAAATCGACGTGTGTGTTCTTTCTGCTCGTACTGTGCAGTGGCATTCGAGATGACCAACACAGCATACCAAACACATACCAGTAACTCCTCAGACATTCAGTAAAGTCATAATACACCCCACACCACAGGATAATCTTCGACAGACATTCCGGTCATCGGGCCTTTGATGACTTTAATCGCAAGGGAAGCAAATTGAATTCGGTGTTACTGCACCCAAAACGATTTGTAATCGTAAATATAGCACAGCATTTACGATCTTCGGTCTCCACCAGATGGGAAAAACCTGTCAACACATCCTGCACCAAAAGATCATCATGCGGGATAATCTTTGCAGACATCCGACAACTGGATCTTTTCAGACATTGATCACAAGAGAGGAAAAATGATCAAACTTAGTGTTGATCAGGAAGGGTGGAAAAAAAAAGCTCAAATTCAACTCAATGATCGGTGTTTGGGATTTATGATTGTTGGTCTCGACCATTCTCCCATCAGATCGGTCAAGAATAATCACTCCAAACCACAGGATTATCACTTTGGATCCCCTCTCAGAGATGCCTGACAATTGGGCCTTTGATGATTTTGATCACAAGGGAGGGAAAATAATCACTCGGTGTTGACCGCATCCGGACGGAACTACCAAGGTAAAT